GGCCTTGCTGCTGGGCGCTTCGGGGCTGAGCGGGCGCTGCTGGACCGGTTCCCTCTGGGTCTTCGCCGATCCCCACCGCGCCCCCAGCGAGGGCTTCTGCACCGCCGGCGTCCAGACCGAGGCGGGCGTCGCCGACCTGTGCTGGGTGGCTGACAGGGGCATCCTAGTTGCCTCCGACTCCGGTAAGCAAAGGAGATCCACCCGGGGACACTCCCCTCACCCCCTTCCAGGTGGGTGCTCCTCCAGCTGAACTGGGTGCCCTCCTCCCTGTTTTTCCGCAGGCGCCTTGGAGCTGTGGGAGCTGGAGGAGAACGAAACCCTCATTGTCAACAAGTTCTGTAAATACGAGCACGATGACATCGTGATGACGGTGGCCGTCCTGGCCGACAGCACCCAGGCTGTCAGTGGTGGCAGTGACTTCTGGTGAGTGTCCCCAGCCCGGCTGCTGCATGCCAGGGCTGGTGCCGGGTGCTGACTGCCCGCTTTTGTTCACAGTGTGAAGGTCTGGGACCTGCCCCAGCAAACGGTGCTGCACTCCTACAGAGGTAAGTGCAACACTGGTCCCCTTACCTGGCTCCTCCTGGCCCCTTGCGGTGGCTGCAGGCTGAACCGAGTCCTGCAGCGTCACTGGTTATCTCCTGGCTGCCAAACCATGCTTTGGGTGATCTAATGTTTGCCAGTCTGTGAAGTCTCTGCCACAGCCTTGTTTATTTGTCTCTTGCTCATTTCACCCTCCATCACGAGTGCTATAAGGCCTAGTTTGTCTTGCATCTCTAAGTGTGTTTTAGAGTATTTCTTCTCTACTGAAATTATCTTCTACCTGCACAAGATTGTAGGATCTCCTAACCCATGTTGGTTTTGAACATGCTGAAAATGCTGATCTCTGGAGATGCGGTGTGTGATCTCTTACCACAGCAGAGGCCATGTTTTGGTTGGTCCTTCTCCCCCGCCCCCTTTGTAACTGACCTCTTGTCAGGAGAGGCTGCCTCAAGCTCACGTGTGTCACAGAGGCTTGAGTGCAGTAGCTCTGGTTGGATTTGGCAGCTCATCAGTTTGGTAGAAGCAGTTGGCTATTGTTGAGTAGAAGTTACCCTGTATCTAGCATAAACTATTCTTTATTACACTGCTGCGCCTTCAGAGGTCCTTGGGAATATGCGGGAAAGTTGGATATGATCTTTGAGGCTCTTTATCCTTTTGTGCTTTTCGTAGCTCACTCTGGTTCAGTGACCTGTGTGGCTTCCTGTCCTGGTAAGGACACTGTGTTCCTGTCCTGTGCTGAGGTAAAGTTCACTGTCTAAATTTACCTGATAAAGCGAGATTTAGCTTTAGTTACTTACAGTTAAATGCCTTGCTGTGTTACAAGCTGCATACCTGTTTCAGTGTTCCCACCTGGTAAGCTGCCCATCAGCTTACCCAGCTGCTCTCTGCATTGAAATGTGGGAATCCGTAGGTCTGGCCTCGGGGTCACTGAAGGAGCTGACTTGCACTTAACATAAAGGAAGGGGGAGTGTGGGTTTGAGTGTGGGTTTAGTAGCAGTTCTGCAGTGAATCTGAGTTTATGCCTACGCCCTGCCACAAAGGAATTGTAAAAACCTCATTCAGTTTGCATTTACAGGACAGCAGAACTTTACTCTGGGACACCAGATGCCCCAAACCAGCTACTCGAATTGGTACGTTTCTGTATGCAGTCACTGCTGGTGTGTGTGTTTTTGTTGAAATACATTCATTATTTTATGCCTGACTTCACTATGTCTAACTTCACGTCTAGTGATGTGACCATTTGGGCAGAAAAGCCTAGTAAAACCTCAGGAATTCTAACACTATCACACAAGTACAATAAGCTTTTAAAAAGCTGTCTTAGCACTGTTACCGCACTAACTGAGATAGTGTAAGAATATCTTTGTACTGACTTTTTTCACACTCACTTCAATTTATTTACTCACAGTTTGCAGTGCCTGTAATCACCTCCCTACCTCAGTCATGTGGCATCCACAGAAAAGTGACATCTTTGCTTTGGGTAAGAAATCATCTTATTTGACTTTCACCAGACAAATCAAGGTCTTTCTTTTCACTTGACAATTTTGCTAACAACCTCATTGTCCCTTCCTCTCTCAAAGGTGATGAAAATGGAACGGTTGCACTGGTAGACACAAGGAATCCTGATTCTGCCCTCAGTTCCACTGTGCATGCCCGAAGCATCACAGGGTTTGCATTTTCTACACATAGGTACAGTCTGATGATGAAAACTTTAATTCTGTTAATTCACTGTTAATTCTGTCTGTTAATTCACTGTTCCTGGGTCAGGCTCACTAAGGAATGAGCTTTTCACCAGTTTATCCCTATGAAGCTTTTTTTGTATTTGACTGTTCTAACTGTGGTCTCATCTCTGTCCTAGTTCCCCTTTGCTGGCTTCAATCAGTGAAGACTGTTCTGTGGCTGTTCTTGACTCAGACCTCTCAGAGGTGTAAGTACTGGACAGAATGTATTCACTACTAGAGCTGTCTGTCTTGGTGACTTCTCATTAAGTTAGTTATCTGTATGCTGAAGAGAAGATAAAAATACTCCCTAAAGAAGGAAGCATCCTCCTAACAAACTTAACAGTTTATGGGCTTGTGCAGTTTCTAACTCTAGGTGACAGTGCGTTATGGCTAATGAATTGTTCGTGTTTTCCAGGTTCAGAAACCGTTCGCATCGAGACTTTGTAAAAGGCTTATCGTGGTCTCCTTCCGACAATGCCTTGCTCACTACAGTTGGATGGGATCATCAGGTTTTACATCACACTGTCCCCATACCAACTGGTGAAGCTTCTGGAGTCAACTGTGTAAAAGAATAGTTTTATAAACATGGTCCAAATTCCTTTCTGGCATTACTTTGATTCTGGTGAAGTCAAAGGTATGTGTGAACTGGAGTGGGTACGGGCTGTTGTCTGCCTTCAGGCTTGTGACTAAGAAGGTTCCTGTAGTAATTTCAAATTAGGCTAAGTTAGTTACAAAGCAAGCTTTACCCTCTCCTCAGGAGTTGCTTTCGCCTGTGATAAGACTTCAGTATTTTACTCATTAAAAATTGCCTTCAGACACAGAGGAGACTCAGAGAGACAGGGAATTAAGTAGAATTTAAAAAAAAAACCCAGAAATCAGACTCAATTCCTCCCTCAGTTCTCCAAAGTATGCATGGAATTAAGTGAAACAGTTTTTTGGAGAGATTAAAAACAACACCTCGTGTTAGCTGGATGCAAGAGCCTCACCCTTGAGCAGAGTTCTTTGCTAAGTAAAGCAGCTATTCCAACTGAATGGGAAGACAGGGCAGGATTTAAGGACTAGCAGGGTCCCACTGTTGTCCTTGGTGACCGCACAACACGCACCGAGGTGCTGGGAGCTGCGATGCTCCACGTTGGCTGGCAGCTGCTGCCAGCTCAGAGGGGCTGTTCCTGTACCGTGCTGGAGGCCAAGAGCAGTGAGCAGTGCTCTGCTGTTTGCTACCGTGTTTCATCTCCTCTGTGCTGAAGACAACTTACTGAAAGATAAGACCTGTGCACAAACATTTATGTAAGGGAAAAACTGGACTAAGGACTTCAGTTTTCATTTGCTTGCTCCTGTAAACAGGCTCTGCTTAGTGATAAATGAGCCTCCTTACACACTTGTGGTGAGTGACTTTCTGTGGTGGGGAGTGAGGGACTGCGCGCACTCATAATCCCCAAAACAGACTCCGTATAATTCTTAGAGGTGTTTTTTGTAATATACCACACGCTTTTCAGACTACACTGTTTCCCTGGAACATATTTAACTGAAAAGTCATTACTCTGCATGCATTGCTGCTTGTCTACATATGGCTTGGTCTGGCCTAATATTTCCTACACAGAATAAAGCAGGTCCTGACTAATGAAACAAGAGATACTCTTGAAACAAATGCTACTCCTGGTTCTTTAGCATTGTAGCAACACTAAAGTGTACACCACTTCCAGGGGGCTTTTCTCTGCATAAATAGAGGTTTTAGTTGATCCAAATTATGCAGAGCCCACCATTAATTTTTAGGCAGACTGAGCTTTCCCAGGCTCTGTACTTTTCTCATGCTATTTTTAAACCTTGTTTGCTGTTTTGTTGTTTTGTTGTGTTTTTTTTTAACTCCCATGTCATACAGATGTTTACAGAGCTGACTTCCTGATCTAGAGCAGTGTATGACAAGGAAAAGGTAGATGGTTATAAAAACTGACTTTCCTCAGAAGTACCCCTCGAACAACCAAAAAAATGTTACCCGTTACGGACCTCTGACAGTGGTGTGCTGGAAACTGGAACAGGCCTTGTGCTGTTTGTGAGAAAAGTCCTGGAAAAAGTGGAATACGGTTTTAAATAAATCATAGTTTTCATTTGTAACTGGGTATATGTTTCACTGGGCCGCTTCTGTAGTATTGGAGAGCCAGCTGAAATCATTCACGCAGTTGAAGTTGTGATTCCAGTCCCCAAAATTAAAACAGTTCTTGAATAACTGCACTGTGTTCTGTTCAATGCTAGAACATGCTAAGTCTTCAGCACTAGTGTGAGGCTGTAAGCCTGTCTTTCCAAAATTTGACGTAGGGTTTCTATTGTGTATAGCTAAAAAAATTTCAAATGTCAATTATTAAACCATGTTAAGTTCCTCACGTTGCTACCCTGGGAACAAAACAGCTGGCCATAGCAAAAAGCTCAGTGGTGGAAGATGAAGCCTAGATGGACAAGTCATTACTGATACATCAGTCCTGTTCTTTTACAATTGCTTAAAGTGTGGCAGCACAGAAAATCATCTAAATGAAAAATAACGAATGTTGCTGCGTCTGGCAACTCTTCGGTGAAGCTGTGTGCGCTGCCACCAGAGGGCAGCAGCTGCCAGCTTGACAAACGGGAAGGCAGCATCCCCTCCCCAAAACATTTGCACCCTTTTTTAGAGTATCTGCCTTTCCTTTTTACCACTTAGGCTTGCTTTTCTCCCTATCAAAAGAGAAGCACAGAACAACAACAGTTTATCCAGCAGTCACTCGTGTTGCGTTAGCTTGGCTGTACCATTGCTAGCAGGGGTATGTAGAACAGGCATGCCCAAAATGCAGGCAGCGTGGCAGAAACTGGCAATACCACATCAATGCTGCCTCCGGAGCTGTCTGCAAAGGAATTGGGGAATTCTCTGGTGTCTGGTATGCTCACACTGTCTGGATACTTCACATGCTGTTCAGGTTTGGGACACTTCTGTAAATATACCATGGCTAGAGAAAAAGTTTCACAATAAATATTGCACACTTCTCTCCCAAAGAACCTGGTTCTGTGTCCAGAGCTGGATTAAAGACATGAGAACGCAAATAAGTGTAACTTTGGGGAGTGGAGAGAATAAGCCACTATGAAGAGGAGCCTGCCTTTTATGTTGCTGCTTGCATTGCTCACACTGCGTTGAGTCTGAAGCACAACATTCTAGTTAGGACTTGCAAATAAGTATGCAAGTTTCATTACTCATGAAAAGCCGAAAAGCAAGAGCTATTTATAGGAGCAGCACAGGTCGAACTGCACAGGCTCTGCCAGCCCAACCAGCTGGGTGTTGGGGTGTCTGCAGTGCCAGGGCCCAGCTGCCCGCTCATCCCTTGGTTGGGCTTCCAAAAAACACTTGAATTGCCACAGGGTTTATATCCACAACTCTAAGGAGAAATTGGGCCAAGCCCTAGGTAAGCTGAAATTCAGACTCCTCTGAGGCCAGTTGGAGCTGTTTTCCTGTGCTTTTAATCTTGCATGCAAAGTTCTCAGTCTTACAGCAGACAGACCACAGGCAGTACTAAAAAAAGTCAGACCACACAGGTAATTAAACAATACATCCAGACATATTTAATGCAAGAAGGTTGGTGTTCAATGGCACTCATAAATAAAAGACTTTGTTCAACACTTTGCAAGCAAAGCCATCGGTTCCAGTACATGAGCAGGTGTTTTTGAGGAAGAGGCAGCTGCAGGGGAGAGTTTAACTCCTATCAGGACCTGACTGACCAAACTGCTGAGAGGGTTGAGCAGTTCCCCTGTCAGGCTTTAAGATTGCTTTCAGCACTAAGACCAGGCTATAAGGGAGGTTGCTTTGCTCCATTACTGCCCCTTGTTTTCTTCCTTCTCTCATGCTAAATTTTTATAGTAAAATAGGCACGTAAGTGGGAATCCGAGCAGTTCGGCTGCATGTGCTGACATTACATGACCGAGGCAGAGGGAGCCTTTCCCATCCCCGCAGCAGAGGTCCCCACTCTCCGTTACACATTTAACTTCTCCACAAGCTGCCAACAGCTCTGACAGCACTTGCTTTGTCACACAGACCCCTCCCAGTGGCCCCAGCGTAAATGTCCTGTTGTTACTCAAATACCCAAATTCTGCTTAATGCATTCAGAAGCAGGGATTGCCCAAAGTGCTCAGAGAGCAGAACAGCTCCACTGCTTTCCACATCCCTGCGAACCAGTTCTGCAACTGTGAGCAGAGTCCTACCTGGTTTAGGTGCAGCTCAGTCCGTGATGCACGCCCAGGATGGGTGTTCTGTAGAACTGACATTACCCTGCTTCTCTTATTTAACATAAACAAATGCTCGTCTGATAGAAACAAGACACTGCACTATAGAACACCAAGTTACAGCTAGGTATGAGTTGTGTGTCTGGGTGAAACAGTAAATGTGAATTTCACAGCAAGTGCCGCCATTGGGGTTTCACATTTTGCTCCAAAACTAGAACTTTATGTTTGGGATACACTCAAATTTAGCAGAATTCTTGAGGGGGAAAATACACACCCCATACATACACACCCCATTTCAGGGCAAAGTCAATCTTGAAGGCTGAAGCCTCCCAATAAGCTTTTAAATGTAAAGCTGCTTTTGAGAACTAATTTGCAGTTATAACACAGTTTCGAAAAGAAAGTAACAGAAAGAAAAAAAGTTGGGTGGCAATATTATCAAAGAGGCTTCTTTGTTTTGTTTCAGGTTAAACCGGTGAAACCTCATCCAACACTAAAACATGACCCTGAAGCCACTCAAACAGGATCAGGCTTTAACTTCTATAAATACGAACCCTCAAGATCCTCCTCGCATGGAGGAACCTCCGTGTGTTAAGGGACACACACACACAGTTCTACACAACCCTGGGGCACTTAATACCAGATAGTTACTCCACAGGCACTTTTCTCCATCTTTTAAGTCCCAACACCCAGATATTTAGACTGCGTTATTTCAGTGCTGGCTGGGGCGAGCACATCTGGATATCTTCCAAGTCGCTGCGACTTCCTGGCATAGAAATGCCATTTCGATTAGCTGTTAGACTGATTAGCGTATTTGCGTTCTCATTTTATTCACAAAGTTCAGAATACTTTGAAGCTGCTGCGATATTTGAAACAGCTGTTAAGTTATTAGGTAAAAGTTGGAAATGACATAAAATGCCAAACATCAAAGACACAACAATATCCAAATAACTCTTTGGGAAATTCCACCGTGAAGGGAAATTTGTCACTGGACTTTGAGATGAATTGTAGAGCAAAACCTGCTTACATGCACAGAGAACGTGCGTGCAGTGCGGGATGAGCTGGAGTAGAACTACGGATATTGCATAGTATTGAAAATAGAAAGTGCTTTCCATAAACGTAGACTAATGTCTCAAAGTGCTTTTAGTTTGTCAGTGATCAGAAAACATTCTCTACAAGTTTTTACACTTATCTTACAGTTATTTTCAGCAAGTTTACCTATGAGGAAGATTATCTATTTCTAATTTCAGGAAGCTGGCTATTCAAAACCCCAGTCAGCTGTCATGAGACTGTACTGCTCACTCTGTGGTGTAAAATACCCTGTCAGGCTTCTCGTATCTCCCGCCCCACTGTGCAGCCATCACTCGGACACAGTGGGGACCAGGTCCCCCAGGAACGTCACTGCAGTCATTTCACACCCCAGGAGCCCCAAATACTCAACATCACACTGGAATTGAGCTGCGTAGCCCCCAAGTGAGACAAAGCCAACTCTCAGGATAACAGTTTATAAGGACTACGTGGCTTTGCTTTTAGAGGTGGGGTTTATGTGGGTATGAAGTGGCAGGAGACCCCTCGAGGAAAGCACCACGGCACAGCATCTTCCTGTGTGCTGACACAGGAAGAAGATTGCTCAATGCCTTAAATCTCCCCAGTGCCTTACAGCCACCCAGCTGGGCCTCACAGCCCTCCTCCACAAGGATTAGCTACCAACAAACATCTACTATGACCAGAAGGAACAGGAAAGCAGGGTCTGTGCTCCCAAAGCCACTGCTTACCCCGTGGTCACTCCCTGGGGAAGGGGCTCAGCCCCTGGTGGTGAAGCTGCCCCGGCTCAGCAGGACAGGCCCTGCCAGCCAGGAGCTGGTTTTAAGGCATCGACAGAATTGCTTTGCTCAAGGCTGCTGAAGGAGGTAGGGACAGAAGAGGTCAGCATCAAGACATTCTAAACTCTTTTTCTATCCCATTGGCCTTGCATTCTTATTTTAATTCCCCTACATTTAGCTATACACTGGCTTGCTTCCATTATGTACATCTCCCAGTTGGTTTCTCCCAACTCCCAAGCGTGTTGGATTTAAACCAATTAAAAAAAAAAAAATGAAAATCTCTCTGGTGGTGATGCTCTTTAAAGAGAACTAAGGATGCTTTTTGACTTTCTTAGAAGACCTATCAGGCTGCAAATTTGAAAATAATACAAGGGGGAAATAGGAGAAGGAAAACCATTTTTGCTCACGTAACAAGACAGTAGCTGGTCCTCTGCAGTAACTACTCTCCATGACAGTGTTTTGAGAAGAGTCCAAGTCCCAGGTTCAGGCCCTGCCTTCCTCGCCAGGAGTTTCAAGCAGGGCTGGGACCATCCCTGGTGCCAACAGAGAAGACAATGACCAACCCAGGAGCCTTCTCACCCCTTCCCAGCCGGATGAAGGCAGTGGAGCAGCCCTGGGGACAGGGCTATCGGTGGCCGCTCTGGTAGGCATAGGAGATGGGCTGCCGTGCCCCAGGCCTGACCGTGAAGGTGTTGGTGGGTCCGCTGTAATGTGAGCTGCCTTGGGCAGGCCTGGAGGGAAAACAGAGCAGAAATTCACTGAAACCCAAGGAAACTTGGTTTTCATCCAAAATACCAACTTTCTTTTTCCTCCACTGGAGTAGGGTGACTTTCACATCACCCCATGTCTCCATTCAGCAACAGGGAAGGGGTTGGCTCAGGGGGACACGTACCTGCTGGCTGCCACCGCACTGGCAGGCGAGAAATCCCCGTTCTGCCCCTTGTATTTGGCATCAGCCCCGGCGCTGCCATACGGCGCAGCTTTCCCAGCAGCATCAATGGACGTCCGCCTGCCCTGTGTGCCCGTGGGGCCGTTCCTGTGGGCAGAGCCCAGGCGGCGAACGCCCTCCCCAGCCAAGGAGCTGAACCCCCCAGGGCTGTAGGAGTTGACAGTGCCTGTGCCCCGGGGGGCTGCGGCTGCCCGGGGGTAGGAGCTGTCAGGCTCAGAAACGTACAGGCGCTTCTTGATCAGCGGGCGAGGATTAGGGCAGTGGCTGAAGTAACCAGCAGAGCTGCTGTAGTCTGGGTACTGGGGCGTGAAGTCTCCATTCCTCCTGCTCTTCTCCAAGGGCAGTGGGGCTGGCGGCTCATGGTTGCCCCCGTAGCCACGGCCGTAGCCGGGCCACCTGAAGTACCGTGGTGCCTCCGAGCTCCGGCTGCAGTCAGGGAAGCTGGGGCACTTACAGTTCTCCTCTTGACTTGGTAGGGTCCCCTCAGCCTCATTTCCCTCATTGCTGAATTCAGGGGGTGGTGGAATAATCCCATCAAGGGCAGTGGGGCTGGCGGCTCATGGTTGCCCCCGTAGCCACGGCCGTAGCCGGGCCACCTGAAGTACCGTGGTGCCTCCGAGCTCCGGCTGCAGTCAGGGAAGCTGGGGCACTTACAGTTCTCCTCTTGACTTGGTAGGGTCCCCTCAGCCTCATTTCCCTCATTGCTGAATTCAGGGGGTGGTGGAATAATCCCATAGTCCAGTGCCCCCTCCCCATTCTCCTCCTCCTCCTCCCTGGGAGCAGCATGGCGGGCCTGGCCAGGCTGGTTGGGCTGCCC